TTCATTGCAGCATTATGTACAATTACCAAGATATGGAAGCAGCCCAAGTATCCATCAGTAGATGAGAGGATAAAAAAACTATAGTGCATTTACACAGTGGAATACTACTCAGCTGCAAAAAGGAAGATTTTACCCTTTGCGACAGCATGGATGGGCCTGGAGAACGTTATGCTACGTGAAATAAGCCAGTCAAAGAAAGACAAATACCATATGACTTCACTCATATGTGGGAATCTAATGAATAAACTGAACTAACAGCAAAATAGAGACAGACTCATAGATAGAGAGCAGGCTGACAGCTCTGGGAGGGGGGTTGGGGTAGAAGGATTGAGCCAAAAAAAGGAAAAGGACTCATGGACACTGACAACTGTGCAGTGATTGTGGGGCAGGGGTAAGTGGGTGGTGGATGGAGGTGAAAGAGGGTATAAGGGGGATAAGTGGTAACAGAAAATATACAATTAAAAAAACTATTAAACTTTAAAAAAAGAATTCATTGGAAAGAGAACTGATTTTGGTCACTGGGCAATGTTTCATAGTGGCCCATAGTTAGGCTGCCGTCATGGACAAATTATTTTAAAAAATAAATAAGAGACTACATAAAGGCCTAAGCCAATCAGCGATAACCTCTTGCAGCCAGAGACACTACTGCAGGCATGTGCGATGGGAAGCAGATCCGGGATGTGTGTTAGAACCGATGGGGAGACAAGCTGGATTTAGACAAGCTCTCTCTTCCACTGGATTAATCCCCAGAAAATACAAACTAGCACGTTCTAGGGGTTGCCCTAGAGTGAAATCAACACAGAAGAAAAACTGAGTGTTTGAGAAGCCCAAGTTCTGATGGCATCATTTGAGCTCTGCAATCCAACAGTTTCTGAGGCTACACCTATTCAGGACTTTTCAGTTAATTGAATAGGTGAATTCACTTATTCAGTTAGGCAAGTTTAGGCTGACTTTTTGTTGTTTGCAAATGAAAGACTTCTGACGACCCCTCCCCTCCCCATCTGGTTTTTATATCAATTATCAAGACCTATTGTTTCTCCATCCAAAATATCTCCTGTTCATTGGCTCACTTCTGTCTCCAAGACCATAATTTAGTTCAGGGTTCTCATGACCTCTTATCTGACTCTGAGTTTGCAGACTCTGAGTTTATCACTCAGCCTCCACTATCTCCTCTCCAATCTGTCTTCCCAGAAGCTCCCCTCTTAATATTCCTCAGTAAGCACAAATACAATGAAGGTACTCATTCCATTGCCCCAAAACTTTCACTGACTCCCCATCGCCTAATAAACTTAAAAACCTAGTCTTTCCTTCCTTTGTGTTTCCCTTACTACTCACACAGAACATTTTACTTCTGACACTTCTGGTCACCAAATGTGGGTTTTCCCCACACCAAGCAATTTTCCATGATACCAGCCTGATGTCCTACAATTTCATTCAATTCTGACACTATCTAGAAATACTGTCAAGTTCCACAGGTTAAGTCTTACCGGTTAAGGTCTCAGTCCCACAAGACTGCCTCCCCACTTCAGATGCCAGTTGAAAGTGGCAGGTAGGTCCCCAGGTTACCTATAATTTCTATCACATTTAGCTACAAATCAGAGGTTCCCATGACCCCCTACTTAGGTTTGATTAATTTGCAAGAGCGGTTCACAGCACTCAGGAATAACATTTACTTATGTTTACCAGTTCATTAAAGGATACGATAAGGAAGACGGATCAATGGTCAGATGAACGGATACACAGGGCAAGGTCTGGGAGGGCCTCTGTGGAGCTGGAGTGCATGACCCTCTTGTACCTGGATGTGTTCACCCACCTGAAAGCTCCCTGAACACCACATTTTGGGGGAATTTATGGAGGCTTTATCATGCAGGCATAACCAATTATTAACTCCATATCCAACCCTTCCCCCTTTTTAAGAGAATTTTGGGGATAGGGTTGGGGAGGAAGCTGAAAACTCCAAGCCCCTAATCGTTGCTTGCTCTTTCCCAGGAACAGCCCCTATCTAGGAGCCATCCAGAGGTCCACCCAGGGTCGCCATTAGAACAAAAGACACTCCTATCGCTCAGGAAATTACAAAGGTTTCAGAAGCCTTGTGTCAGAAACCGGGGTCAATGGTCAAATATTAAAGCAAAAGATGCTACTAGTGTTCTTATCACATAGGAAATTACAGGGGTTTTAGAAGCTCTGTGCCAGGAACCAGGGATAGAGACCAATATAGAGAGTATTTTTCTATTATTTCACATTTATAGAATAAAAGTTTAAATCCCTTCGGTATTCCAGCCCCTCTATAATCTAGCTGCAATCCCTACCTTTCCAACTTTTATTCCCTGCTATCTCTCTCATGAAATTTATACTCAAGAATTATGCATTCTGGCTGGGTATTCAAGATTCAGAGCAAGCCTGATGGAGAGCCAAGGTGAACTAGCTATTCCCCGGTCCAAATCCCCCAGCCCTCGGGTCAGATGCAGCCTTGTCCTGAAGCCTTCCCTAACCCCACAGCTACTTACAGCCTGTCACTTCCCCTTAGTTTTCTATATTCTATTGTAGCTACTTTTAGATTTGTTCTATCTGGTCTGCTCTCTAGAATTCTTCCCTGCTAGATAGCTATTCCACTTCAGACAGGGTATATTTCGCATTCGCTTTTGAGTGCACCTGATCCCTGCCCTCTAGTAATGTTCCACATAAGCTTACTGATTTGGTATAAATGAAGAAATGAGAAGGGGTGTTTAATAGGTTTTTTAGGAAACTTGCTTTTTGATGAATATAAAAATAACTTGTAAGTATCCTATCTGTATATAAACAGATACTATTGGAGTTCAAGAAGATACTTGAAAATTGCCTTTCTTAAGTTCTAAATTTCACATTTCTCCCCTATTTTTGCACTATTAATTTTATAAAACAGAAGTAAAATTTAGGTAAACCTTTGTCAAAGCCTTAAAAATTCTAAATGATGATCAAGCACAATGTATAAGTGTAATTGAAAAACTGTCTCATGACCAACAGTCCTCTTTGAGCCATGTTAACAGAAGCAATAACATGCATTTAAATAGTGTGTTTCGGTTTACAAAATACTTGCACATGTATTACTTCATTCCTGATTCACAACCTGTGAGATCAGTAGGACAGAAATCATTAGTCCTGCTTTGCCAATAAGGAAAAGGTAAATTCTAAGAGGCTAAGCATCTGGCAAGTTTCCATAACTAAGTAGATGATGGAACTAGAATTAAAACCCAAGATTTGTGGCCCCTAATCCAGAGCCCTTCCAATTATTCCATGTTACTTACCTTAGGCTAACAGACAATTCTGTTCTCTTGCCAGTGAGCGATTTAGCAAAGGGCTTAAAACCATTTAATTCTGGCCTTTGCGATGTGAGGAGAGGTCTGCTGACTGGGATCGTTTTCTTGTTCCTAAGCAAGAGAACTAAGAGAAGAAGCTTCCCCTTTTGTGTCTCCTGGACACAACTGCACATGGTACTTGCTTGTTATTTCTCCCTCCATGTTGTCACAAGCCTAAGGGCAGCGCCAATGCTTAAAAGGGCAGAACCAAGAGAAGCAGAGCAGGAGCCTTGAGTGCCCCTCACTTAGAGCCTCCCCACCCTTGAACTTCTTAATATGTCAGGTAATCAGTTTCCACATTATTGTTTAAGCCAGCATGAGTCAGGGTTTTCCATTCTTGTATCTGAAATCACCCTCACAGACACAATAATGGAAACTTTATGATATATGGGTTGGGGATAGAGGGTCCTGGATATGAATTTCCTTTTCAACACTTCAGACTAGGAATGTTACTTAAGCATTTGGGAGCCTCAGGTCATCAGTAAAGAGAGGGATTACTGCTCCCTCACAGTTATTTTGTCAGATGCAAAAAGTGGTAGGAAGTGACTGGTACATGGTAGATAATAAGTAGCTGTTGTTAAGATGAACTCTTAACGACACCAATGTTATAAGTACAGTTTACAAAAAAAAACAACATACTTTTAAAAGTATAACGTAACACAAAACAATTTAATTGGCTCAGTCATCCTTTCTCCTCCAGTCAGGCAGGTATCAGTTTATATACAAAGGTCAGGTCCTGTCAAGCTTAGATCAAGACTACCCAACCTCTGCGTGAACTTTTTCCTGAAGCCTTGAGATCATTGGGCAGGGGATGAAAAGAGTTGATGATAAAATTAGATAGAAGCTGAAGTTTGGAGGCTCCTACCAAGACTGGAATTTGCCTTGAAGTCAGCAATCAACCCTTCAAAGGGTAGACTTGTCATTTATTTGTTTTTAATTTTTCTGCAGAAAGGGTCTTAAAAATGTAATGGTTCCATTTTATTGCACCGTTAAAAAGAGAGAGAGACATTGCCATCTCTTGTCCTGAAAGACCAGATAACTGGGATAACCTCACTTTTCCAGTATGCTATTTGTACAACTGTGAGGTCACAGTGGTTTAGGGCTAGGCGAGGTCTTCCTGGATCTTCCTAGATGAGAACCAACTGCCTATTTTATTTCAACATTAAAGCAAAAAAAAAAAGAAAAGAAAAAGAAAATCCTGTCCTTTTGGAATGCTGTCACATTGCTAGGAGGAGCTAATTTTTATTGACAGCATAATTCCCAAACCGCTGTTACCTGTTCTCCCTCTGTTTGAGGAAGTGGACCGACTGCTTCTCTGGAGAAGATTGCCATTACTCTGGCTGACACTGTTGTCCAAACAGGGCCTCAGCCAGCCTTGAGCAAAGAGAGGAGGCCTGTGTACTCCAACAAAAGCTAGGCCCACAAGAGAGTGCGAGGCTTGTGGACAGAGTGACTTCAGAGCCACTTTGGCTTAACAGCTTTGGCTTATGTCTTGATTTTCCAGGACAGGGCAATAATGTGAACAACTACTTATAGATACCACAGGATCTAGTGTTCTTCTCACTAACAAACCCGGATAAAATGTCACTCCTCCTTGAAGGACGTCCCCACCTGCAGCTGCTGGTGTCAATACTGGAATCTCCTCCCAGTGTGAACTCCATTGCTCTGACAGGCTCCCCAGAGCTGTCACCCTCCAAATTTGTCTTCCTCTAAGGCTGCAGTGGAGGGCCCCTGTGCGGCCACCAGCGGCGACATCCACGTGCCTTCATGTGGGTAAGTCCTACCTCGGCCCCACAGCCCCCGTGAAAGGGCTTTCTCTCATCTGGCCTATTCTGCACGTTTGAAGTGAACACAACATGGATGATGATTCTTGTGATTTCCCTAATCTGTGTACTCAGGGCAGCAGGAGCCAGGTGATCCTGTGTTTGAAATAAAACAGGTGACTGGTCTGAAAGAGCAGGAAGCAAATTCCTTCTGTAGATACAAATCTTCCTGCTTTACCCTTGAGCGTGTTGTCCTTGCTTTGTTTTCAAATCTGAGAAATCCATGCCCTTCCGGTGATGGCTGTAGGGTGCTAGTCCTGAGGTGCTGGCTTGTTTTTGAGTAACTGTTCCTTCTACGAGGCGAGGGGAGATAGAGGCTTCCAGCTATGTCTAAGAAGTGCCCAAACAACCTGCTGAAAACTAAAAATAAGTCTCAAATTTAGCTTGTTATTGTCTGTTTTCAAGGTCAGATTGGCAGAAGGTATCCGTCAAAACAGCCAAACGTGCTTCCCTGTTATCTCTGTTCAAAAGGGCTCCCTATCGCCTACAAAATGTGGGGTCTTGCTATGGTGAGTGGGGTTTTGTGCTGGATGTGTAAGGGCTACAAAATAACCAACACATTATACTTATACCTTCCTCAATTAGCTTTTATACTAGTAGCTACCCATAGGGTAGCTATAGTAGAAATAAAAATAACAATAATATTGGGTAGCTAAGAATTGGAGAATCAGACACCATACGACATGTTAATATTTTGATGCATTTCCTAATTTTATCCTCACTATAACCCTACAAGGAGGGTATTGTCACTATTGTACTTTGTGAAGAGGAAACAGAGGCTTGCCCAGTGTGCTGGCTATTCTCTGTTTGCAACTCTCCACCCTTCACTGCCCTGCTCTGTGCACGGGAGGCTGAGCCTTGCAGACAGCCAACCTGGCTCCTTTTGAGCTGATTCTGGCAGGCTCCAGAGATCAGAGGGTGGAAGAAAAGGCCAGGATGTTTTATTCCCACTCCCTCTCTCCTTGGTACCAGAGTCCCCACAGTAGCTGCATCCCTCCCTGGACCACACAGCCCCTGGCCACCAGGCTCTCCTGTGGCATCTGTTCCCTTCTACTTCCTGCCCTAACAGTAGGGATGGCTTCCCCATGTTGCTAGACCCTAGGTGCTCTCTGTCATTGTTTGTTCCCTCAACCCTGTCTGTCCTCACTTCTGTAAGGAGCCATTCTATATGTTTCTTCATTTGAACCAATCAAGGGCAAACTGTGTTCCACTCAAGACCCCAACTGATACATCTAGCAAAAAAGATGCAGCTCAGAGATTCAAATCCATAATGTTCAGGAGTAGGAGAGAGGATAAGTAAACTGAAAATAAAATAAATAAGATTATAAGAGCCATGAGAAAGTTGTAAAAAATGTTGTGAGAATTCAAAGGCCAACACAAATACTTTGTTGAGGATGTGACATTGTTAGGCCTTTTAAAAATGAGTAGAGTCGAGACAAGTGGGTATGAAAGAAAGAGTTTCAAATATGAGCAAAAGCATTGAAGTAGTAAAAGCACAAACCACATTTGGAAACAGAAGTGGCTCAGTTCCAGAAGGGGAGTAAGCTTACGGATGGTGTTTCTCAGCCTGCGTGCTATAGAACTCTGCTGTTCTTTGAAATGTTACTACCACTATGAAAGGAAAAAAAAAAAAAGGAGTCCTCAGTCAAATAAGATTGATCAGATATCTTTGAGGTCAATGAACTTAAGCAAGTTTCTCTACTCAGGACTTCTCAGAGCATTTGAAAGGCTAATAGGCATATTTGACTAACTTTTTTTCATGGATGGTCTGTTAATATCTTCCAGAGTGCAGGGGAAACAAAGTTTGGGAAACACATATTGTCCAGTAGACCTCCACGATTTTGGGGAATCCTGGCAATGTGATTCAGAACACACTGTGGCAGCTATAATTCAGAGAATGTCCCAAAGTGCTCTGCAGAGGGTCAGCAGGAACGTTGCAAGTCATGGACAAATGATGCCTAGAATGCCATCATGTAGCCATAGCATGCACAGTGAAATGTAGTTGTAGGCCAAGTGAAAGCAAATGTGTTATCTCGACAAGACCCATAAATAAAGAATGGTGAATGGACATCAAACAGAAATTGAGGTTTATATCTTAGAAAACAGTGGAGCCCCAGTGGTAAAATTTCATATATAATGCGCCCTGTTCCTACTGGCTGGCAAGTCATACTATTTCACATCTGATATTTTAAGTTAATTAAAATGAGCCAGGCTCTCTGCTAGATTATAAGACCAGACAATAACTATAAATATTTAAAAACCTATAAAGACTAGAAAACTATAAATATTGGAAAGAAGAGCAAGACAGAGATCCTGCTTGGACCGGTCCAGGCCTGTTAGGAACAAGGCCGCACAACGGGAGGTGAGCTTTAATGTCACGTACTCAAATCACCCAGAACCCCGCCCCCCCACCCCAGTCCGTGGAAAAATTGTCTTCCCCAAGCTGGTTCCTGGTGCCAAACAGGTTGGGGATCGCTGTAAAGAACTCTAGTCCACTTGAGGCTGAACAATTAAATAAAGAACTTCAATGTAAGAAATGACTTCAATGCAACTCTCTAAAACACAGAGACTGGACTAATATATCTAGCACGGAAGGGTTTCAGAGAACTTGAAGGATAAATAGAATTTGCCAGTGGAAAAAAGAGAAACCTCATGAAAGATACTAAATTTGAATATCCAGATCCCCATATTTAACCACATAAAAGCTTACTCCATGTAATACAGAAAAGAGAATCCAATATTTATGAATCAATATAAACATAAGTTAAAAACAAAAGGATCCAAAAGTGCCTTGTAAAGTTATAAAGATGTGGCAGGAAATTTTATAATATAAATGTAAAGAGTGTATCAAAGGTTATTAAAATCTATTTCAAGGCCAGCACAGCATGGTTCTCCCTGCTGCTTCTCCCTAAGTTAAAGGAAGAAAAAATATCCTTATTTTCCCTTTTGTTCTTGATCATGAGGTTCAGTGTCCAACTTAAGAGTACATCAGAGGACTCCATTGCTGGCCTTTGGATACTTTTTCTGATTTTGACCAGAGAAAATGGGAAACACAGTTATTTCAAAATGTTTGCAGCTTTTCAGTTAAAAATGATGACCATGGTATAGAGGAAATTGCTAGTGCCAAAGCCTGTTTTTCTTTCTAATAATTTTAGATGCTATATTCTTTTAGTAGGATTAGAGTAAAGCTTTCTTTGCTGTGCAGTTTTTTTAAGGCACCATTTGGGACAATTTAACTATACAACTACTTTACATATTGGTTTTTTTATTTTTTTATTTTTAGAGAGAGAGGAAGGGAGGGATAATGAGAGGGAAAGGAACATCAATGTGTGGTTGCCTCTTGTGCATCCCCTACTGTGGACCTGGCCCACAACCCAGGCACGTACCCTGACTGGGAATTGAACAGGCTACCCTTTGATTTGCAGGCTGGCACTCAATCCACTGAGCCATACCAGCCAAGGCTATATTAAGTTTTTATATATTATGCCTTCACATATTTATATTCAGAGTGCACTGACTACTTTTATTTCCAAACATTTAAAATAAGTAATCTATACTTAACAAAAACACAACATTTTTCAATTCTTAAGTGTAGTACAAACATATTTTTAAAAAATTAAGTGCTGTAAAGGTTTTTTGGTGGCTGTTTTTGTCAGCTTTAAAAAAATATTATGGGAGCTTGTTGTGATTTTATTCTTTTAACCATGTAATATTTTAAAGCTACCATCATAAGGAAAAAAAAAAGGTTTTGTCCTTAAACACTGGCAAATATATAGATCTGACAATATAAATGATTCAATATATGTTTAGTGAATAAAAAGAAAAACTGATGGTACTGTATTAGAAGACAAAAAATACAATGCTGGCTCCCATTTGAATCTATAATTTTTCCTAAATTTAGTACTAAGAAACTCTTTGTTGCCTATAGAGCATACCTATTACAAGAACATTTTTGGGTTTAACAGGAATCCTGAAATAATTTTTTCTTAGAAAAACTGGATTAACATTTTTGGCATTGATGCTGTAACAATTTGATTCATTCATTCATTCATTCAACAAATTTTAAAACATTTCTTGAGCATTCACAGTAGTAGTAATAATAATAATACTGATAATAAGTAATGCCCATTTGGAATTTATCTTGTGCTGAGCCCTGTGCCGTGTGCTTTGTACTGATTAACTCAGAGTCCTTACAACAGCCCTCAATTAGCTCCACTGTACAGAAGAGAAAAGGTGCAGAAAGTAGCAAAACTTGCCTATGGTCACCCGACTACTATATGAATTTTTGGATTCTAAACTGAATCCAAGTCAGTGTGAATTCTAAACTGGATTCACATTCTTTGCTACCCCTGGCCCCCGTGGTAGGGATGCCTAAAGATATATGGGTTACCCTCCATAAGTATTACCATGTCATAAACTGAGGGACTGTAACAGGTCATCTAGGCTCTTTTTTTATAGATACGACATCAAGGCCAGGCCAGTGAGGTGATTTACCCAGGGATACAGAGGCAGGTAGGAACTGTCCGCTCTCAACCCTCTGTGTGGTCACTTGGTCCATTTCTGTTTACACTCACCACGTGACTCTGAAAACCCCCTAACTTACTAAGTAAACCACTAGATCTCTATTATTGTAGAAATAACCAACCATATGGAAATGATTTTTAAATATATAATTGTATCTCCTTAGAAATAATCCTCATTGATTGGTAACTTGGAAGTGGACAAATTGTGAAGCTGCATATGGATCTTGGCCCCATGAAAAATAAGCACTAAAACTGAGTTTAACAGTTTGGAGTTGGCATTGGGTGTCTCTCATCTCCCTGCCACCTTAAGTTATCTTTCAGTCTCATCTTGTCTCCTGCTCTGAGACCATTTAACAGGCCATTACTAAGTGATTGTACAAAGGAAAAAGAAGCAAAATAGAATCAAAAGGACGTTTAGAGGTGAATC